CCACCCAGCTGCCAAATAAATCACACGAGTTAGACCTATTCTTAGTTATGAATGCCCAGCCTTAGCTTGGCTTGTTTCTTGCCAGCTTTTCTTAAATTATCCCATCTATCTTTGGCCTCTGGGCTTTTATCTTTTTCTATTCTTTACTCTGTGTCTAGCTATGCAACTGGGCGGGTGGCCCCTAAAGTTCTCCTCCTTCTCTCTTTCCCCCAATCCTCAGATCCTTTTCTCCCAGATTTCTCCTCATATTTATCCTCTCTGCCTGCCAGCCCCTCCTAATCCTTATTCTTGCCTCCCCTGCTTCACTATTGCTCATTCAGCGCTTTATTAGACCATCAGGTGTTTTAGACAGGCACAGTAACACAGCTTCACAGAGTTAAACAAATGCAGCATAAACAAAGTAACATACCATAAAATAATATTCCCTAACAGGTTTTTCTATTTGCATTAAATTTGTATATATCTTGGACCTTGTGAATAATGTATTGTGTAAACTCATAATTTTAAAATATTTCTTCAAAGGGTATTGATAATTTTGCCTTAATAAGAAATTAATGTGGTCATACTCAAATTGTACACAGTCATACCTGTCATTAGTCACTCCGTGCCCACATTCAGTTCACTGTTTTCCCATTAACAGATGATCTCGTGTAGCCCAGGCTGGCTTTGAGTTTTCTGTGTAGCTAAGATAGCCTGCAGCTGCTAGTCCTTTTGCTGTCATCTCCCAAGGCCTGAGATTATACTTAATAGTTCATTTCTTAAAATAGTATTGGCAAGACAGATTTAGTTTATTCTGCATGAATGGGGCTTATGAGTCAGATGGAGACTAGTGCTGAATTTAAATGTACAATTAGACATTCCCCACCTCCCAGCTTTCTCCCTCTCATAATACCCTTCTCACACCCTAGGAGTCTAGCTTGATCCCAATTTCATTACTCTTTTCCTTTGTAATAGTGTATAATCCCTATCACTTAGCACTTAGGAAAGTATACACAAGAATCTGAGGCATCTTCAGCTCCATAGGGAGTTCAAGGCCAGTCTGGACTACACGAGACTGTCTCCAAACAACATTATTATAGTTTGTATCTCAGAAACCCTCTTCCCTATCAGAAACACAGACAACCTGAAAAATTAAAGCATGGCAATCAGTATGTCAAATACACTAACAATGATGCTCTTACTAATATAATATACTTCAAGTCAAAATTAGAAAAGGTAAAGAAGGCCATAGCAATTAATAAAAAGACACTCTGTTGAAAAGATATAACAGTTGTAAATACATATGCACCAAAACCTGGGACTTTCAGCATAAAATTAAAATAATTGGTCCTGAAACAATGATCTTTCATCAATAGATAGGTCATCAAGAAAAAAAATCAACCAAGAAACAATGCTATTGATGAAATGCAAAGTATCATTCGAGAACTCTGAAAATCCAAAATGAAGAATAATCTAGAAGAAATTAATAAATTTGTAGATACATATAACTTATTGAAATTAAATAAAAAGAATATACTTAAACAGGTCCATAACAATCAATAATATTGAAGCTGTAATAGTCTCCCAACAAAGCAACTTGAATACCTACAGATTCACACCTGAATTGCATCAGACCTGTAAAGATCTGACATCAATGTCCTCAAACTTTCCGTGAATTAGAAACTAAAGAAATGAACAAGACTGTTCTCAAAAGAAGAACTAAAATGCAGTCAGATGTTCTCCCCTGTAAGGAATAAGTAAGGGTAAGGAGGTGTGTGAAAATGACTTTAATTCGGTCTATGTATGAATGAAATTGTCAAAAGTTAAAAGACTATAAATAGCCAATGAATATATGAAAAATGTCAGCATCCGCAGCCATCAGGAAAATGCAAATTAACCCTACATTATATTCCATCCTATCCTAATCAAAGTGGTCATCATCAAGAATAGAAATGACATCTAGTGCTAATGAGGATTTAGGAAATGATGACCCATCATACACTTATAGGTATGAACATATATGGAAATTGATATGCAGGTTCCTAAGAAAACTGGAACTACCGTGCAACTCAGCGGTAGCACTTCCACTCATACTCAAAAGAATGTGAGGCAGAGAACCCACGTTCATTCTGTGCTGTTAACCATCACCAAGATGTGGAACCACCCTCGGTGCTCATTTACAGACAAAAGGAGGAAGAAAATGCAGCCTTACTCAGACATAAAGAAGAATGATTTGACATTTTCAGGAATATAGATGCTGACCCAGTCAACAAACATTATTGTTTATCAACTGACAATCATAAATGGTTGCTTTGGGCCTTTATGGTCGATTTTAGGAAGTTGCTTTCAAATTCTGTATTTGCTGCTTTCAGCAAACAGTACATGTGCATTACTTGGGTCAAGTGTGTGGAAGAGTATGTAATTTAAGATTGCAGCTGTGCATTACCTTAGGTTGTAAAAGCTGGTAACATGGGAAATCCAGGGCAAGTGATGTTGGTTGTCATATTCTCTTAAAGGCAGGTTAAGTAAACCAGTTGAGTACAAAGTAGGAGAGCAGTCTTAAGGGACTTCAAGGTGTATTATTAACTCTGGCCGTGAGTTCCAGCAAAAATTTCAGTCTCTCAGAATTTTCAGAGTATTGCTTTGCCACAGAGGACCATTTGGGAGCAGGAACAGGACTAGTGGGGAATGAGGGATGAGAACAAGGAATAGAGGTAAGATGGCAAAACCTAGTTTTTGTTTTCTCCCGGATTGTAACCACTTATCTTTGCCCTGGCCTTACTATAGTCCTCTGGGAGCAAGGCCATAAAGCTTAGGAGCCTGCCTACTTACCCTAGAGCCCATGGCTCTCAGAACTGCCTGAGATCTATTTTCTGTGTTCTCCAGTAGGTGCTCTTATTTTACATTAGATGTTCTTTCATACCATGAGTAAATCATACAGTGTTTTAAAGATGGTCTTTACTTTTCTGTTCCATACAGTAAGGTCACTTAGCTTTCTTTTCCCAGTATACAGCCAAGCTCCTAGGGTAAAAATGTAGAGAGTCTCAGCTGTTCTACCTGTCCGCTTGTTCACCCGTGGCTTTGCATAGTCTTCTGAACGTGCCTGAGTTTCTCTATGCATAAATTGTTTTGCATATACTATAAATTGGAAATAATAAAAAACTATATGGAGAAGTAATAACTTATGTGACGTAAAATGACCTCTCTGACAAAGTCTCTCCTCCTCCTCCTTCAAGGGCATTGTTCTTTTTGTCCTCTAAATGGCAGTTGGCATCAATCTGTGCAGTAATCTCTGGGCTCACTGACTTTCTTGGCTTTTCTCCTGTCTCAAAAGCTGGTGACTACCAAATCTAACCAGAACATCCCAGGAAGTACAAATTTAAATACCTCTGTACCTACCTAATAGCCCAGCTAATTTTCACATTTCTAATTCTTATCCAAAACCGAACTTGTCTTTTTCTTTATATCCCCAAGTCAACTTCTGCTGCTTTAATATGTAATGTTTTACCAATAATGTTACTAAAAAAATTAAAGAAAAAGACATGTGTACTCTTAAATCTCTTCATACTTCATAAATCTAACTACGAAGCCCTACTGAATTTTAATCTCTGTTCTTGCTGTATGGAATTGTTTCATTTGCCATCAGTATCTCCTGCAGCCTCGTTATTGCTTTCCTGCCTCCAATCTAATCCCTTAGGCTACTATCTAATGTGATTGTTTTCTAAATTGAAATCTGACTATGTTTTATCACTGGGCTGCATCCCTTCCTAATCCATCCAGAGCACACTATAGCTGCATCTCTCTGGCAGTCAGGCCCTTGAAGTCTGTGTGTCCTGTGCCCATTGGCACCCAGGTAGATTAGTGTTTGCCACGTGTTCCCACCTCCATCTTTCTCTCTGTTTCTTTCCTATTTGTCAGGGATTCAATTCAAAGGAACCACCTTTATTTTGCATATCTTTTCAGCATGACATGGAAATCCCCATGTGATCTGACTATGCTCTGTTGGAATGTTTAAGTTACTGTCATGTTTCATCTGTATCACTACACTACTGACTGGGTCACACACACCTGTGTACATATTATGCTTATTATCTTGACAGATTAAGGCCTGCAGATGACACGTAGAAACTTAAGGAGTAATTGTCTGCCTTACTCTTTTCTTAATGGCTTAAAATATTGTGAGCCATGGTCATCTATCACCAGTGATTTTAATTACCCCTGAAGCATGGGTAGTATACCTGAAGTTTCTTATTTGGAGTGTTTACAGGATTCTGGTCAGTGTTTGCACACCAAAACCCGTAACTAAGCCCTAAGTTCTTGCACAGATTGACTGGTGTTATACAACACTTTTCCACCTGGGCAGCATGGATGCTCTGGCTTATAGATCTCTGGTGTGTGCTCTAACCTGTAGGATGCTTTGCAGCATCCCTGTCATCTGTTGCTAGACACTGATGATACATTTCTCCCTGGCCCTTGGTCTCCAAACCCTGCCAGATTTTCCCAGGAGCACAACTGCCGTTGTTAGAGAATCACCGCCATGGAATTCCCCACAGAAACCTATCTTGTGAATTGCCTAAGTGTTCCACCTGTAGGAATCACCAGTGTTCTTGCTTTATTCACTCTGGTGAGAAGAAAAAAATCTGGTGATGTTCTGATTGTTAAGTGCTTGTTTCACTTTTTTGAGAAACAAAAAAATTGTTTTGGTTTGCTCTCACTTTGTCTGCTCCCTGATGTGGCGTACTTTCTCCAAGAGCTCATTTAACTACAAACCCTTTTGACAGAGTGAGATGATTGGGGGAGTTGGGAGTTTTCAGTGCGGTATTCTACATATTTTAAGCTTTACGAGTCACAGCTGAAAGTAGTTAGGTGGAGAAGCAAACTTGTGTTAGTTAAACCTTGTGTAGTCTGACTCTGATAGAATACGAGAGCTGTTAGTCAAAACTGTATTCACTTCATGTGCTCAGATGTCTCTGTATTGGTTTCTCTGATTTTGTGTATCTTTCCCTTTTTCTCTTTGTCAGACAATTCACGCTCTCATGGGGAATGCCATCCAGCCCTTACTGACTTCAGTGGCAGATGCGATCGAGGCCATTATCATCACTATGCACCAGGAAGATTTTTCTGGGTAAAACATCTCCTCAGAGCTGTTACTAGTCCTCAGTGCCTTGATTTTCCATTCCCTGCCCCTCCTACCCCTACTACTTGCCATATTTCTTACCAGCCAGGCTTTATTCTTGTTTTATTTTATTTTTATTGATTAATTCGTTTGTTTATTGGTTTTTCAAGACAGGGTTTCTCTGGGTAGCTTTGGAGCCTTTCCTGGCACTCAATGTGTAGACCAGGCTGGCCTGGAACTCATGGAGATCTTCCTGCCTCCGCCTCCTGAGTGCTGGATTCGAAGGCATGCGCCACCAGATTGGGCAACACTTAATCCTTGTGATAGCATTAGCTCCTTGCCTCCTCCTCTTTCTTTGTGCATGTTATTACCACCGTCTCACTGTTCTTGTTTCCATCCTCTCTCTTCTTGTTGGGACAGAACAGGTTTGTGGACTCAGCTTGACACTTCAGGATTGGGTAGTTTGTGCCAGCTCACTCTTCCTGTTTCCCTTCCTTCTCACAGATGTCTGCTTCTTTTCCTGTGTGGTCCCCTGGCACTGTTGTGACATTCCTCTTGAGGACTAATTTGAATCCTGCCCTGGCTTTGGGAGCCAGCTCTCTCTCAGCCCTCTCGGAGTCCTAATCATGCTTTCTGTAAGGAGATCCTATCTAAGAGTGTTTGTGTAGGCAAAGGAAGCAGTGGATCTCTCTAAGACGGTGGTTCTCAACCTGTGGGTCACAACCCCTTTTGGGGGTGGGGTGTCAAATGACCCTTTCACAGGGGTGGCCTAAGGCCATCAGCAAATAGAGATATATACATTACAGTTCATAACAGTATCAAAATTGTAGTTATGAAGTAGCAACACAAATAATTTTATGGTTGGCAGTCACTGCAATATGGGGAGCATTAAAGAGTGGCAGAATTGGGAAGGTTGGGAACCACTGCTCAAATAAAGATAATGCATTACAAAGCTGGTGCTATGAAGATGCACATTCTTCTTGATCCTCACTTCTCCTTCAGCTTCTGAATAGCACTGTTGTTGTGAAGACCCTGCAGTACCTATACAACTTGTTTAGACCCTGCTATTCAAGGCTTTAGAGTAATTGGGAGAACTGATCTCTAATAGCCAAGTATATTTGTATTCTAGTAGATTTAAATCAAGCTTTTAATCCTCAGTAAGATTTGATACTATGTATCTCATATTTCACCTGAAGTGTAACTTCATTTACACTAACACATGCTACTGGAACTTGTTCCAGTATGCTCTTTTCTATGAACACATTCCCCACAGTAATAGGAAGATCTTGTGATGTTTTAGATAAAGTATGAAAAGATCTGAGAGGCCAAGTGGATTAGGTCTTCACGGGAGATAACTCAGCTTTAGGAACATACATAAACTGAAAACAAAGGATGGAAAGATATTCTATGCCATGGAAACAAGACAAGAGCAAGAACAGGGTTTTAAGTCAAAAATTGTAAAAATTCAACTCAGAGATTATTATAAAATGATAAAGGGAGTCAATTCATTAACTGGATCCATATCCTACCAGAGCACCTAAATATAAACAGATACTTAAAGAATCTGATTGCCACAACACAGATGAACCTGAAAGTCATTCTATATAAAAATAAGCCAGACACAGAAACCAAATACTTCGTGCTCTCATTTATATGTAGAACCTGAAATGATAAAATAAGACAATAGAATAGTGGTTACTAGGGCTTGGAAGTTAGAGTAATGCATTGATATTGGCCAAACGGTATAAAGCCGTAACCAGATAGAAGGAATAAATGAGAATTTACTGTAATGGATGTGTTCATTAGATGTTATCTTTTCACATTGTATACATATGTTACTATGTATCACTGTATGCCACAATTGTGTGTTTACTGTTCATCCAGTAAATGAATAAACAGATATGGAAATACTTTATTTTTTGCAACTTAGCCCTTTATACTGGTGCCTGAAAAAAAATAAGCCATGTAGTGATCTGAGTCTGGCACTTGCCTTCGCTGACCTCTGCTCAGGCAGCACCCCACCTTGCCTGCCATGAGTCAGAGCCTGGGCACACTGTACCGAATACTGGCGACCCTGCTGCTATTAGGAAAGTCTTTCTTACATGTTACATCTTGCATCCTGTCCTGGAGGAACAAAAGCCTGCTTTCCCTCTCCCTGCTTGCTCCCAGAAGTGGAAGCCCTCTGTTTATCACCAGTGCTTTACTTGAAGGTCATCAGGCTCACTTGCTGTCTTTCTCAAGGAGTTTCAATTATATCTGTTGTTCATCTCTAGACCGTTGCCATTTCCTCTGCATCAGTCTCAGAATTTGGAAACATTTCCCTTGCTTTTTGGAAAAGATTCGGCATTATGTAGTCAATGATCTCATCTATTAGCTAGGATCAGGTGATTTCTAATTTTGGTCTAACTCCTCCCTATAAATATTTCATATTCTTTGAATATATTCTTTAAAGGGCAATTGTAAACATTTATAAGTTATAAATAGTATGTCATGGAACACAGCTGGTATCATCTGCTGTTCCAAATTAAAGCCTTTCCAAACCTCCTCATCTGGAGGGAAAAAATTTCATGCTGCATATTGTTACACAATCAATCCTTCTGTCACAGTGCTGCCATTGGACTGATGTGATCAACTACAAAAGCAAAGATTGCCACCAAGCAGTTTCTGCCCTTGCAAAGTGTAAAATGTCATTTCAGAATCTATTATTGCCATAGTCGCTTACCAGGCAAAACATGGGAGTGGATGGAGAGCTGGGAGCTGGGTCAGACCTTGAAAGTCCAGAGTGTGATTGATCTAAAATAGATAGCTGTCTTTGGTTCTCAATAAGTAAATGCATGCTAAAATTATGCCAGTAATCCTCATAGGTTCTAAACACTAAATTAAGAATATAATTTAAGCATTGTTTTATGTTCTTTAGCACTTAGCAAAACAAAACAAACAAAAATGGTGTCTTTATACCTTTAATGGGGAAAATTGCACAGGATTGAAATAGTAACCAGAAAATGACAAGATTGTAGCTTTTGCAGTGATGATGAAAATGACTTTTTTTTTTTTTTTCCTTTTATAGGTCATTATCCAGCTCAGGAAAGCCTGATGTTCCTTGTTCTCTGTACATGAGAGAGCTACAAGGTTTTATTGCCAGAGTTATGAATGACTACTTTAAGCACTTTGAATGTTTGGATTTTGTCTTTGACAACACTGAAGCTATTGCCCGAAGAGCTATCGAACTTTTTATCCGAAATGCCAGTCTTGTAAGACCTCTTGGGGAAGGTGGGAAAATGCGACTTGCTACTGATTTTGCACAGGTAAATTGATGCACTGCTCCAAGGGGGCTGTTCTGTGAGCTTCACTGTCAGCTTCATGTAAAGAAGACCTAAAATGTCAGTATTTAACTATTTATGCAGCAAAAGAGAAAAGAAAACCACTTGAAACTAATTGGATGAGTTTTAAAACATTTTATCAGATTTTATTTTTGTTCTTTCTTTTTAACAAAATTATCATTCCCTCATCTTTGACCCTTCAAGATTAACACAGACTCTTATGCCATTGTTGTTCTTTTGTTACAGTTATAGGATAAAGCTGGAGAAGGGGTTGGTCCCGAGTGGGAGAGCATAGCAGGTTCCATAGCAGGTGAGGGTGACCAAAGCGGAGGAAATAACACACCAGGCAGACAGAGCTTAAGTGAGAAGTTTATTTAGAAAGGGGAAAGGAAAAGAGACATGGAGACATTGGGAGCAGAAGAGAGGGGAGAAGAAGGAGGGAGAGAGGTGAGGAGAAGAGCAAGAGCAAAAGAGAGATCATAAGTGGGCAGGGTCTTTTAAAGGGGTCTTTTACACCTGCCTGCAGACTAGTACTTAGGAAACCCAGGGCTGACCAGAGTACTGACTGAGTGCAATCTGCCAGGAGACAGGGGCAGGCCAGCATAATGCTAGAATCTTTACAGCCACAATAAAGCAGCAGTTTACATCTTTGCTATTTTAATATCCAGCAAAGACATAATAATAATTGAGTGACTTTGCTTGAAAAAGATGTAGCAATGAGATGAATTTGCAAACAGCCAGAAAGGGGCCCCATGTTGCCATAAGAGAAAGAACTCCAGCCTATTAGTGATCTTCTAGAGAGTATCTGTGCTCAGTGAGATGGGCAGGCTGCCTGGCAGATAGTCTGATTATTTAGACTCTCCACTAAGTACAGTACCCATTTCCTTTGTGTCTAGCCTTAAGATCACTCAAACTATGTGATTTTTACTCTCAGAGGCAAAGAAAAAACACCCTAAGCACCCAGTTTCCTGAGAAGATTCAGAAACAGTTGATTCGCTTTTATATATCCAGGGTGAATCCATTTCTTTAAACCTTTCTAAGCTGTTAGTTTTACTGATCTAAATAGTTATTCAGTTGGAGTCTTCATATTAGTCTGCCAGATCCTCCTTGCTTATAAAGATAAATGCTAATGCCAGTGTGTGTCTGGGAGAGGACTTGTTCAGGGTGCTGGCTGCCAGATGCTCCCACACCCTACCACACTTACAACACAAACAGCTAACCCAAACCTGGTTTTCAAAAACCATCCTCTTTACTTGTAATGACCCTGCAGTTAGTTATTTTCATTCCTAAAATGATGTCTGTGAAACTACTAAGTCATACAAGAAGAGCCTTCCTTTGGGAAAGGTAACTTTAGTAGCCACGTGTGAGAACAGAAATTATTAAGTGCTCCTTTTAAGTGGCTTAACCTTGTCCATTTTATTGCCTTCATTCTGTCTGTGAATAATGACAGTTATGTCCATGTGTCCCACAACCTATCGTATACCTTAAACATATTGTAAGCTGTTCTCTAACCGGTCTCTCTCCTGTCCCCTCTCCTCCTGGGTTTTGTTTTTCTTTCTGTCTTCCTCCCTCTGCCAGCCCCCCCCCCCCCCAGCCTATTTGCATTCTTCTCCAGCTGGTTTGAGTCACTTTCCTGGAGGCAGCACTTCAAGTCCAATTAGAGTGGCAGCTGAGCAGGAGATGGCCAGAAGGAGAGTGCTGTAGGAGAGCTTGCTGTTTGGGGTTTTAATGATGTGTTCTCTTGAAAGATGGCAAGTGTTGTCCTTTATAGCCCCTTCTGCAGCTAGCACACCAGAGTGTGCAGCCTCCAGTGGTGGGTTGAGCGTCGTCCCCCTTCCCAAAGCTGCAGCACTCAGAGCTGTATTTGCATTCCTTTTTCCTTTAAGACACACTGCCTTCTGAAACCATTCTCCCCTAGGGTAAATGGAGCTCATCGGTTCCTGTTAGTGCACTCAGTGTTCTCTGTGCTGAGTGTACTCCAGCGCTGTGGTGGGCTTGGGCTCAGCCCCTGCCACCCACCCTGTTTGCTACTGCGCTCTGTCCTCCAGTTTTACAAGATCCCATCATTCCTCTCAGCCTGGCTCAGATCTTAGCCACAGGTGCAGGAAGACACTATTTGTGACCAATAATAGTGTTAGCAAACATTTCCCAGGTCATGCTCGCTACTCCATTTTTATTTTTGTTTTGTTTCAATTAAAATTTGAATTGGGGCTTTGATTTCACTGGGTTTTGTTTCTTGCCACAACTGCAATTATGTGTGGAACTTCAGCTTTCAGAGTCCTGTTTGGTCGCAAGTCTGGGTTAGTCAAAATTTGTATGCCTGACAGACATCAGCTGGGGGCTATAGCCTTTTACCTAGCTCATTATTGAAAGCTGTATCAGTTTGTAATCACAATTAAATGAGGTCACCAAGGTTACTGAAATCCAGAGCACACAATTCTCTGTGGGTTTGGAAATGATTCTTGGAATGAAAGTCCCTGCTGGTTAGTCATACACAGAGTTCAAGAAAAGACTAGTAGGAAGAATTTGGGAAGATTTTGCATTAGCTTATAGATAGGAACACAAACCGTGAAGCATTGTAAGGGCTCTGGAAACAGCCCTTACTAACCTCGCTCCTCAGGAGCACCTGTGCAGAGAAAAGGCAGTTGCGAGCTTCCATCTGGAGGATGCATAGTGAGGCAAGTGCCCTGCACACAGCCCAGTGAAGAACTAGGTCATGAGCATGAGGTGGCTTCCTACAGGTAATTAATTTCCTGCTGTGACCACATGGCCTTGTGTCTACACTAATCACACAGCAGTTCACAAGGCCCACAGGGCTCTGCTGATGCCCACCGATGGCAGACACGCTTGCAGTGCCTACTGCAGCACCCTTTCCCCTCTGTTTTCTTTTTCCTCTGAGGGAAAGAAAGGACAGCTATTGGCGTTGGAATTAAATTATTTAGTGGTACTCCTAGCAATTTCTATTTATATATTTTCTGGTGCTCTTTAAGTATACATTTTTATCTTTCCCACATTGTCCAAATAATGTAAAGTTAGAAAAGAAAGCCAATTTCTCATTTTGGTTCTGGTTCCTCTTGCCCTTTCTTATCTTGATGAACATTGTCCAGGCGAGAATGTCCCTGAAACACCGAGATGAGCCCTGTGGAAAACAGTGTCTGTCCCCCAGTGTACATCCAAAGCTCTGCAGACTCCTCTAACAGAACACTCCCTCTTTAACATGAACTTCATTGTTTAAAGGGAAATGATTTTTCAGAATCCTAGGGGTCCTTTTTAGATTAAAAATTCATCTTACACATCATCTGTGTGTCTGGTATCTGTGGAGGCCAGAAGAAGGTACCAGATCCCTGAAACTGGAGTTCTAAGTAGTCGTGAGCTGCCATGTAGGTACTGAGAACTGAACCCCTGAACCACCCATACTACAGTTTGGAATTCTGTCATTTATATGGCACAGAAATCCTCAGAGCTAAAGCTTTATAATCATTTGGAACATGCTGACTGGTAAAAAATTTCATCAATTATATCGACTACAAAGAGGCTTGTGGTGCCTACAGAGAACACAAATACATAGTCTAGAAAACCTTTTTTCCAACCCAGACATGATTTGAACTTCTTCTCTTACTTAACAGCATACAATATCTCATCTTTGGCCTCTTTGGTAAAGAAGTGTAAATGTCATTGAAATCTTTACCTTTTAATAAATTTAAGTGCCTTCCAAAACTTGTTTCACAGTCAGTTAACATTAAATTTACAAATACTACAACACTGAGTATAGGTAATGGCTAAACTGTCACCCTTGATTAGATTGAAAATGTACTAGGGGATTCATAAAGTGCAGCTCTAGGTCTCCTAGGAAGGTATTTCCAGAGAGAATTAACTGAGGGAGAAGACCAGGCCTGAATGTGAGTCTCACCATCCATAGCTGGGACCTGTACCTTCAGCACAAGCCTAGATGGAGAGGGTACCTTCAGCTCAGGTCTACATGGAGAGGGCACCTTCAGCACAGGTCTAGATGGAAAGGGATACCTTCAGCACAGGTCTAGATGGAGGGGGATACCTTCAGCACAGGTCTAGATGGAGGGGGATACCTTCAGCACAGGTCTAGATGGAGGGGGGTACCTTCAGCACAGGTCTAGATGGAGGGGGGTACCTTCAGCACAGGTCTAGATGGAGGGGGATACCTTCAGCACAGGTCTAGATGTAGAGGGCACCTTCAGCACAGGTCTAGATGGAGAGGACACTATCAGCACAGGTCTAGATGGAGAGGGATACCTTCAGCCAGGCATTTTCTCCCTGCTTCCTATCCCCATCTGGTGAGCTGTTCAGCCCCATCAGACCTTCACCATGATGAACTGAAACCTCAGAAGGTCTGAGCCCCAATAAGACACTCTTTTCTTAATTGTTTATATCACAACAATTGTTCATGTCACAACAAGGAAAAACTGACATAGAGTATGTCTTGAGTTTGAACTTCAGCGTCTGCCATGTAAAGCCATGGTCTGTCTTCATATTTCAGATGGAGCTGGCTGTGGGCCCACTTTGCAGAAGAGTATCTGATTTGGGAAAGTCCTATCGAATGCTTAGGTCATTCAGGTAAGACCTAATTTTCTGTTATTATACACCATTTCTAGCAGGTGTTTCTTTCCTCCTATTCAAGCTAAGCTATATATAATTGTCAACATTCATTTTTTATTATAACAACGCCAATATGAGATGATCATCATAAAAGGCATTGTTTAGAGAACCACCTAGAATTACGTACAATAACTAATAACATGGGAGATGGTCTTCTGAATTATAACTTTCAGGTTGTGTTGATGGGTGCTTTTTTAACTTCCCATTCCTGCACAAACACCAGGAAATTCATTATAATACAGGCTTTTTTTTCCTGAAAATTTTATTTGTTCATGTACATTTTAAATCCAATCTACTTCTAAAAGTATCACAGCATATACTAAAGACAAACACAGCTATTGACTAAAACTGAGCTCAGTGATGAACTTAGGGAATGGATTAGGGAGCTGAGACTGATGCAGTTGAGCACCAAACTTAGGGTTGAGCTTCCTACAAATCAGTTCAATAAGAGTAATAGTGAGTTAATACAGAGGCAGAGGTAGGTGGTTCTCTGTGAGTTCAAGGCCAGCCTGGTCTGCAAGTTACCGGACAATCAACTGGTGCATAGAGAAACCCTGTTTTGAAAAACAAACAAACAAACAAAAAAGAGTATCAGTGAGCTAGTTCATACTCATGATGTAAAAATATAGAAATATAGCAGTTCAATGAGGGAAGCTGATCTTTCCATGACTGTATGGACTCTTGGTTCTGAAAACATCTAATACTTTAATGACTTCAATAGTAGATGCTAGAAAATAGGGTGGTATTGTGCATATGGCTCTTTACTCAGTAAGCTAGAATTTCCAAAATTTTCATGTAATAACACAAAGAAAATATTCATACTAAAAATGTGGCTAACCCTATAGACTGGAAAGATCTACATAATAAACATTTATAATATTTTGTGAGTATAGCATACTGCATGAAAGGCTTTGACACAGACTAATCAAATGTCCAAAAAGCATAATAATCCCTGGGTGTGTTTCTGTAAACCTAAGGTGATGTGAGCTTTCTGAAGCTTGGCTCAGTACTGGAAACTAGAGTAGTTGATAGTGTATGCCCTTCCAATGAAGGCTGTGCTCTCTTACATCACCACACTGTTGTAACAGCCATACAGGGAGCCAGCCAGTACTGCTGACAGAGACCGTGTGCTTTACCTTGCCCATTTCAGTCAACAGAATTCCGTTCTTGTTTTCATTGCCAACAGCATGGCCTGAATTTGACTTTTTCTGCAGTGGATAGTCCATGATTGCAAGAAAACTTCAAGTGAGATCTTGCATATTTTTCAAATACCTTCTTTGGGTCTGCTTAGTTCTTTAAATAACAAAACTATAAGTATTGTATTAAATTCTAGTTCTGTACTAAATTGAAAGAGTATAAGATCTCAAGGTTACCAATCTATAATTTATCTGCTTGAGCTTTAAAAATGCACTTTAAGTCATGTACTTTGAACAAGATGGTGATACAGTTTATTCATTACTTTCCTCCTGCTGTGATACAGCATCATGATCAGGGCAGTTTACACAAGGAAGGGTTTATTTTGATTTATGACTCCAGAGGGAAAGAGAGTCCTTTATAATAGGGAGCATGGACACAAGCTGCAGGCATGGTGGCAGGAGACAGAATTGTACCGCCCATATCTTGCAGCTCAAGCAGAAAGCTGGTGTTTTATGGTTGGTACAGTGGCTGTACCTGACCCTATCACTGCCTCAGCTGCTGACTGCCTCACAGCCTCCACCTGTCTGCTGAGACCTTCATGTCTGCCAGTGCCACCTCAGCCACCCCCACATAGGGAGGCACATGCTTTAACTTAGTCTCTGTTTTTTGTTTTTTGGGTTATTTGTTTGTTTGTTTGTTTTGGTGGTGGTGGTTTTTTTTTTTTTTTTTTTTTTTTTTTGGTCTTTTTTTTATTTTACCAATAAAGATCTGGGTACCAGATGCTGGGATGAAAACCTGCAAGCTCAGAGAAGCAGAGACAGCAGCCAGCTGACCTTCCTCCTCTGCCATAGTCTCAGAAAGAGACTTTTCTCCTACCCTTTCTGGAACAAAAACTCCTCCAACTGGATGTTCCTCCCTTCCACTTCCTGTGCCTCCTCCCAGCCTCCTGTTTTCCCCTCACTCTCTGTAGTTACTTCTAGTCAACTGGTTGCTTATTCTGCCTCTTGACTGATGGTTGATTTTATTTACATGGTGCAATCTTGGAGTTCACAGTGTGATCATAGATGCTGACAGAAGGCCGAGAGAGCACACTGGGAACAGTGTGAGGTTTAAACTCAAGAGCCTGCTCCAGCAAGGCCACGCCTCATAACCTTACCAAATAGTACCAATATGGGACATCTTCAAATACCTGAGCTTATCTGGGAGGGCATTCTCACTTAAACCACTACAAATTGCAATCTGAACTATGTAATAGAGTGATGTCATGGCTGACTTAGTAAATGTTCTGAGGGCATTAATCAAGTAGCTTTTGACAAAGGTCTGAGAAAGACACTGATCTGCATTTATTTGCCATAGTAGAACTAGGCTCTTTTTTTTTTTTTTTTTTTTTGATAATCCCAAATTCCATATTGTGTGTGTATTAAAATAGTACTAATCTTAATAGTTTTGAGGGGCTAGAGAGATAGCTCTGAGGTTGAGTACTGGCTGTTCTTCCAAAGGTTCTGAGTTCAATTCCCAGCAACTACATGGTGGCTCACAACCATCTGTAATGAGATCTGGCGCCTTCTTCAGTCATGTAGGCATATATGCAGGCAGAACACTGTGTACATAATAAATCAGTCTTAAAAAATAGTTTTGAAATAGAATGGCTTTTGCCTCAGTACTTGTAAGTTTGTGTGACATTACAGAAAAGTAAAATCGGAGGATAAGTTTCACATAAAACTAATTAACAATTTAAGATGAGAAGTTCCCACTAACTCTCCCAATTAGTTCTCACATGAGAAAAAGAACCCCAAAGGAACAATTTCAAGCTTGGGTAACATCTTTTTATACCTACTTATAGATTCAAAAATGTATGTTAATAAATGCATACATTTTAAAAATTATACTTTTTTATCTAGCTCTTGATAGAGCAATAGTCCGTCCAGATGCATTTCAGACTTTTGGCCATGATGCATAGAGAATTTTAGGGTTTCTTAATCTTTTTGTGTATTTTGTTTTCTTTTTTTTTTTTTTTTTTTTTCTGGGAGGATCCCACTCTTTGACTGAGGCTGACCCTCCTCTCTCAGCCTCCTCTGTTCTGAGATTAAAGCATGCACCACAATACTTGCTTGAGGTTTTTGTCTTTTGGGTTTTTTGTGTGTTTGGTTGGTTTATTTGGGTTTTGGTTTGGGGTGTTTGTTTGTGTGGTTGAGTTTTTATTTTCTTTAATTTCATTTATTTATATTTTGAGACAGGGTTTTTTTTTCTGTATAGCCCTGGGTATCCTGGAACTCACTCCATAGACCAAGTTGGCCTCAAACTCACAGTTCTACTTGCCTCTCCCTCTCAAGTGCTAGGATTAAAGGCATGTGCCACCACAACCAGGCCCTAGGACCTGTGATTATTAACCTGCATCTTTTTCTTCATTGTTGAACTCTCTGACAAGAGCTAGGCATCAGTCAGTAACTGTGTGCATTCATAGGTCACTCAAAGTTAACTGTCCCTCCATGTCCAGGTAAATAATGGACAGTATTGGATTGCCTCTTAAAAGTTGGTAAAACAAACACAAAATATTCCCTAATGCACCACTAAATTAAAAGCAAACCAAAAAAATTAAAAACAAAAAAGGCTACTAAGAAGGAAATTGCTGTGATATCTGCTCTGCTGTAAACACTCAAGTGTGTTTATAGAAGAGAAAAAAGAAGAGCCATTGTCAGTTTTTATTTTCCAAATTTTCTGTTGCAGCTTTGTTTTTTAGTGAGAAAAACCAATAAATTTTACTGTTAAATTCCTCACATTGTTTTCCCATCTAGAAATAACAGAAGATCTAAAGAATAATTTAACATCCATGAGAACATTTTCTAACAAGGTGGGGGACAAGCAAGCCAAGTGATAACTCAGGTGTATTGTAGAATCCACAGAAGGCTTCATTCTGAACAGCCTGAGTTAGAAGCAGGGGGTGGGGGGAGGGCAGCTGGGACCCCTCTGCAAGGGAGGAGGACCTTGCCAGTCTATCTCCCTGCAGTTAAGATCCTACTCCCCTCCTCCCCCCAAAGCCTTAGCAAGCTCTCCCTTTCCACAGCATGTTGCCATCTGCCTCTAGGCACTCTCTCTGATGGTAATATCAGTGGACTAGTTAATTAAGTCAGCAAGCTTCTTGCATACATTTACATTTTCCTGTCTCCATTAGAGTTCCTCAGGCAGCAAGAACCTTTTCATACTCGGACAGAATGCTGCCTCAGAAAAATGCTGACATTCCTGATCTGCCCCTAGAGGCTTTGTATTTCTACACTTGACACATGTGTCAGAACTGTCAAGACCCTGTTCTTGTCTGCCTCTCTGCAGCATGACATTAACCCCTGAGCACCAGATGCAGAAAACTCTGACTCTTGACACTGTCAGTGTAGATGCCAGTGTGGGTCTGTGAGCTGACACAGGAAAGCCTGAGACACAGCACCTGGCTTCCAGCACACCTCACCTCCCTCCTGAAGGCACACTTTGTTCCTGATGTCTACTGCCTGCTTGCTGGAACCTTCTTATGTGGATTTCGTAGACGAGTGAAGACAGCCAGGGAATGGGGCTGTGCTATACTGTAGCTTTTAGCAAGAGGGCAAAGAAGAAAAGAATGAGATTGAAAGATCAGGTTCAGGATAGGGGCATCATGAGTAACTGAAATAGAAAGCCCTTGTGTTGGCTTTCATTGCAGGGATATTGCGGTTTTTCTTTTTTGTTTGGTTGGTTGGTTGGTTGGTATTTTGAGACAGGGTTTCTCTGTGTAGCCCTGACTGTCCTGGAACTCATTCTGTAGACCCAGGCTGACCTCGGACCCACAGAGATCC